ACTGACAATGGGCAGAGCACATGGAGGCTGATGAGCATAATTATTGACAAGGAGATGTTGTTGGCTCTTCCCAGTATTGGCAGAATATGATAAATCGTGTGTGCCCATCTTCTGCCATGCAACAATTTTCAAGGTTGCTTAATACAGCTTTCCTTAAGCCTAACTGCCTGGAAGTGTATGCTTTGCCTTGAATGGACACTTTATTTGGAAACAGACTCTAGCCAGGCCCTCTTTGCCACGGAGTCATTGCTCCCTCTGGTGTAAACATGGAGATCTGTCACCCTGAGCTATGAAGCAGTCCCAGTCACTGGGCCTTCCCATAATAGGAAGGAGCGAAGGTCAAGAGAAAAAAGCATCAGGTTCCCTCCAGCTTGCTGCTGGATTCATGGGTTGAAGGCTGAGTATGTGAATATATGAACTTTGGGGAACCCAAACAAATCAATGGCTTGGGAGAGGACAAGAACAGAGAGAAAGGAAATCCCAGAGAAGACAGAGCCAGTTAAATATGAAAGATGGAGGATTGAGGTACAGAAGCATAGTCTGAAAAACAAAGTAAGAAGCAACAGAGAGATGGATTTTTTTCCTCCCATTTGGGAGAAGTTCTAAAACTTCATTCCTTTGCCTAAAATAGATAGATTCAGACCCAGGTTATGAGAATCCTTGAAAAGTGGGTTTTAACATGGAAATGCCGATAAATCTTTTAAACAACCTATACACCTCCAGGTGCTGCTGGACCTGCTTAATCCCTTTAAACCTCCAATAACTTCAACTATAGTGTTTAAAGTCTCATAAATCTGTTGTAGCTTAAAAAAGGGAAATATAAATCACGTTCAAGAGCTTAGGGGTAGGGATAGAAGACAAGCATCTCAATGTCGTTTAAAACCACAGCACGGGGTTTTATCATTTTTTTCCCCAAGAAAAGCTGAAATGAAAAATTCTCAGATTGCTCAACTATGGTTCCATAAGTTCTTGACTTTTTCTTTTTTCTTTTTTTTTTCAGGTGGTGAGGTGAATGCAAGGGAGCATTGACTGGTTATTTAGTTGAACACAAAAAAATTGCAAAGACCTCACCCCTTTTGAACACAAAATGAAACCAAAAAGAAAAACAACAAAAAACTACTAATAGAAGTGATTAGAAGACAACATCCTTTCTAGTAAGGCACCATGAAGAATGATGTCTGGTTTTTCTTACATTATTGATGCATGCCTCCAAAATAAAAGTTATAAATATTATTTTACTAATAATAGCTATCTTTTCTTCTTCACTCTTGCTGTCTGGCAGGCACCTTCTGTGCAAAGAGCTTTAGTTACATTATCTACTTTTATCTTTATAGCAGCCCCTTGAGATATAGTATTCTGGTCTCTGAGAAGATGTATTATTTTTGTGTCTGTTTCACAGATGAGGAAACTGAGGTTCAAAGTCACACAGCTGCTAGTGGTAGAACAAAAATTTAAACCCAGAGTTTGCTTTGGAAGGTCTGTCTTATCCGAGATGCCATCCAAATATCTGGAGGGCGTGCTGTACAACGGGCCCAGTCAAAGATCATCTAAATTCTATATGTCACCCTTTGGGATTTGATTTTTTTTTTCTTCCACTTTCCTGGCCTGATCTAATGACCTTGTCAAACCCTCAAGTCTAGAGAAGTTCGCTCTATTAACTGAATCTTTATTCACAGTTCAGTCCTTGTAGAGAAACAAGAGTCCCTAGCTTGTGTTGCTTATTTCAAATCCCAGTGACATACCACCTAGTGATCCTGGGAAGACTTCTGAATTTTAGTCTCCACCTCTATTAAATAAAGATCTATAAGATGTACCTTTGCGGTTGTTATAAGGGTTGACATATGGGAAAGCAAGTCTGGAGACCACTAAGATCAGGCAACTATTGGTAACTTCTGATAATACAGTGCCTTCGGCATAGCACAGAGTAAAAATCCAATTAAAATCTAGCTTCACAGGGAGGAGAGAAGGGGGAAGATATTTTAGCCACTGAAATGGAGGCCGTTTCAAAACATTTATGTTTAAAATACATGCATTTGAAAGGGTAAATATATGTCTCTCTACTATCATCTCTCCAACTGTTTTCAATGGTGTATTAATGGATGTATTCTCAAAACATCTTAGGTCAGAGGGGTTTGGAAAGCACCACGTATGCAATCTCTCTCTCAGAGACTCACAATGCACTTTGTCTTATTAAAGGTCCTAAGAAGTTCTATATAAAATAGTCTCTGCTTAGTCCAGTAGTTGTCAAATTTTTGTCCATAGGGACCTGATTTTGTAGTTTCCATCTATTAGCATCTCCCGGCTTACCCTGGAACACAGTGTGGGAGGTGCCACTGTTTATAAGGAGAGCTCCTCTCACCCAGCATCAGTATAGCACCTGACTCTCTTTCTCTCCACTGTAATCAATATTCATTCATTCAACAATTCACAACACAGCGAGGAGACTCCCCCAGGCCTGCAAAGGTGTCTTCTCAATACTGGACTCTACACAGAGAAGAGCACATACAATGCAGCCCACAAATCTCTGGGCACAGGCCCCAGATGGGAAGAAGAAGAAATAACAGGAGAAATAAATGTCTCACTTAGAAGTTCTCCAGTAAGGTGTGTTAAATGATGCTAGCTTATACTGGAGAATTATCTTAGTTTGGGGTTCTCTAGAAACTGACCTTGAAACAAGGATTTGAGAGAAAGTGGTTTACTCATGAGATAATCCAAGGAAATACCAGGACTAGAGTGAAGAAGTGAGTCAGGGAGAGGAAGACAGCCAATAAAAAGTGAATCATTAAGCCAACGACACAGCAGACAACTATAGCTTAATTCTGCAGAGAAACTCTAGGAAACAGTGTAAAACATACACCTTAGACTTATTCCACCCAAGGGATGATGTTGCTGGTATATTTATATATCTCCCACCATCATTCTTTGGTTGAAGGATGTTCCTGGGGGTAGGGCAATTCATTTTCCAACACTTCTGAACTGACATGCATCTTGGGCCTAGCAATTTTCCAAGGTTCCAAATAAAATCCTCAAGCACCAAGATTCAGACACTGGCAGTCTGGAAGACACTTAAATGATAAGGCCTAAGGGATATGGGTCTGTCTCAGTACTCTCATAATCTCCATATTTCAAGATGGAAAAAAAATCAAATTGAAGGAAGTTAAGTGGACCCCTGTTCCCTGATCAACCATCCGGGTATTTTTTGAAGTGTAGGGCTATGCTACATGTGAGCATGGGTTCTTAGTTCCAGGTCAGATGATAAATGAGCACGATACGAATGACCACCTCCTCCTCATCCTCTGAAGCGGTGGCTGTGAGACTTTTCCTGGCCCAGTATCATATTTCATATTTCTCCCTACAAACAGTGATTCTCAACAGCTGTTTGAGAAGTACGTTCTCATGTACCCTAGAAATGGTGTATGAAAATCCTGAAGGACATAGAGTCTATTTAAAATATCTATTTACAGCACCCTCCCTTCCTCACCATGCCAAGTCCCCAGTGCTAGGTCACTGTAAGGAGCAGTATTAGGAACATAGGGTGACCTGTTTCCTGATCAGATGAAGCCACTTTTCTAAACATTTGTAATAAGATACAGTAGAACCTCAAAAGAAGCAAGCAGCTTTCACTGTGAGCCAAGGATAGTTTGATTGTTTCAGGAAATTGACAAAAGACCAGAGTTTGGAGGAAGCAGCAAAGATGTAGGTGACTCCATTTACAGAGGGTCAATGTAAGCCTATCATCGAACACCCAGTTGGGTTGTAAGTCAGAGGTTTTCTGTTTTGTTTAGAAGAATTGCTACTTTCTATTGCCCTCTCCCTAGAACTCACCTACTACCCTTGCCATTTTCCTGAATTGATCATCTCTATTATAAAATATTTACACAGAAGTGGCTGAATTTGGAAGTAATAATACCAATAATTTATGGCAAAGATATCTCAGTTTCTTTCTCTCCACAGTTTTCCAAATTACAAAACCTAACGTATGCCTGTGATCTTAACCTATATTTTGTCAGGTAAAACAAGACAAGTGAATGAGAGGGAAAGGTAGCATTTTTAGAAGAGCCAAGAGTTGGTCATCTCTTTGGGTAAGTCATGCTTCTTTTTAAAACTTTGTATCATATAAAATGTTTTCAAGAAGTTTATAGAAAATATATTGTGAAAATAACTATGCATGAATTTCAAAAGAATTTCGCACCAAAATAATCACATACTTGTAAAATTTTATTATTAATATTTATTTAGTTTCTTATTGCCAGAGGGTACATGTGTTTGTGAGAGAGAAAGAAAGAGACAGTGAGAGAAGGAAAGCATCCCCACTGGGGCATGGTCAGACTGTAATCCCTTCTCCATTTCTCCATCCCATGAGGATTTGAGACACACATGCAAACTTACCTGATATGTTTGTCAAGCTGCCAGAGCCAAGACTCAACCGAACTTAGCCATATGGGATCCAGAGACCTAATAGTGGGCTTAATCACAGTGGGCTGAACCACTGTGCTACAGGGCTGGCCCAATCATCTCTTTAATTACATTTTTCCACAAATTTTTAAAAGTTTCTTTATATGTTTCTTTGTTCCTTAATGAAAGTCATCCTTGGTACCTATCATTCTCCCTCCATACTCCTAAGAATTTTAACCCAAAGCACCTCCTTTTCTGGTTGAGGTCTTTGTTACTGAATATAGCTTCAAAAAAGGCAGTAACAATACTATTTTTCTGATACTGATCTCTCCAAGTTGACACTTAAACTTCTTTCAACTCTTCAAAGGACAATGACTTCCACATTATTCATGACAATGCTTGAGATACTTACAGAAGTTAGAGGAAGGTCTTCACATATCTAAGAGCGTCAACCAATCCATGTTTTGCCTCTGGGAAGAGAAGAAACTCAAGCCTTCTTTCTTTTCCCTCCCACCTCTCCCTTAGTACCTTAGGAAGAGGTCCCACTAGTTTGGAGAAATTTTGTACACAAAGTAGGCGTGCTTAGTAAAGGGTGGTTTCTTTTCCTGTCACTCTCTTTTTTCCCCTCTACCTTCTGCATTGCTGAGAAGGGCATTTAATTCTAGTTTTCTTCTCTCATGTTTGCTGCAGTAATTTCATATCTTTGGGATCTTGTCCCATGAAGAAATTAGCAAAAGACCAGAATTTAGGGGAAGAAAGTCCCCAAACTTGGTTTATACTTGGGGGAATGGAGAAGTGCAGGCAAACCTCTGACCTCAGCTATGTGGTTTAGGTCACCTAACAAAGAGAGAAGCACTTACCTTTCAAATACAAGCTCAGTGAAGAGTTGCTTTGCTTTGCCATTGCTCTCTGTACATATATAGTCCTTAGGAACTTTATGGGAAAGAGAGAGACTATGCCCCTTGTTTAGGGACAAGATTTGGGTATTACCTGAGTTCTTCTGTCCACCTTTCACCCACATTAGCTATAAACATTCTCAAAAAAATTACAAGATTACAAGAATAAAACAGCAAATACTTGTATACCCTTCTAATTCATCAATTGTTAACATCTTATCAAATTTATCTGCATGTGCAGTGTGCATGTAAATCTTTCGAGGTTTTGTTTTAAATTGTTCTGAACCATTTGAAAGTAAGTCATAGATATCATGACATTTTACCCAAAATTGTTCAAAATGCATTTCCTAAAGACGAGGACACTGTCCTCTTTATAGCAGATATAAACACAATACTATTATTTTTAAAGAATTATTTATTTATTTATTATTATTATTATTATTATTTTAATTTAACCAGAAAGAGACAGAGAGAGAGAAAGCGAGAAAGCAAGCCACCACATCCAGGATTTGAACCATGGTCAGCCATGAGTCCACCGCCTTAACCACCACGCCACCTGCCAGCCCCCACAATACTATCATTATACCTAAGAAAAGTAATAATAATTCCAGAATATAAAATATTCACAATTGTTCCAAGAATGCTTTTATAGCTATTTATATTGGAAAACATATAACATAAAATTGACCATTCATTTTAGTCTATTTTTCTGTAGTTAATAACAGAAATACCTGAGTCTGAATAATTTATAAAGAGT